CCGCCAACGGTCGTCGCCTCCGCGCCGGCCTCGCCGCGCCCTTCGTCCGGCCTCGCCGCCCCGGCCATCGCCGGCCCCAGGCGACGCCGGCCGCCGCCTCCTCCCTCCTCTCGCCGGCCGCCGCCGCCTCGGATTCCGCGCCAACCCTAGATCTGAGGAGGTTGTTTTTCTTCTAAGTCCTGAAATTCGCAGATTCAAGTGCTCCTGTTCGCGGCTCCGTAACTTTGCATCCGTAGCCCCGATTCATGCATATAGCATATCAAAATGTTCATCTCAGAGAGTACATCATTTCATTCCATTGCATGATTTTCATTTGAGTCCATCTTGATGCCCTAAATGCTGTTATAAGAGGGCTACTTGAGTTAATTGTCAGATCTACTACTCCGTTTAGCACTTTTGTCATTTTTGCCATGATTATTGTGTGCATGATATGCCCGTGAGTTCTACATGTGTTTTGATAAGGGTTGTGTCATCTCTCCAGAGGGCAACCCATGTATTTTTAGGATGTGTGTAGTGACTTGTGCAAGCTTGCAAAGTGGCGCACTTGCTAATTCTGTTTTCAGGGACTTAGTGATTTCACTAAATCCTGGAGCTGTTTATCTCATGATGCCATATGTTCATGTTGTTTCCTAGTGATCCGTGCCTCTTTTGAGGATGATCAGTAAGGGAGTTTTGTTAATCTTGTAGTGCTCTATCCATCCATGTCTTTGTTTGCAATTATGGAGCATCCTAGCTTGAGTCAATCGAGCTCTACTTTTGCTTCGTTGTGAATCTGGGCAGATCGTCAACTTGTTTGCAATTTTGCCGATGTTATTGTAGTTGATCCGTGCATGCTATGCCATTGTTCTTGCCATATCTAGCTTGCATTTTGTGCCTTCTTGATGGGTGTATGCTTGTCTTGCCATGACTTGCACCGTGGTCAGTGCATCGAGCTCGTAAAACATGCCTTCGTGAGTTATGTTTCAGCATGTCCCAGTTTTCACTAAGTCTGAAAACTGATTATATTTTTGCTATGTTCGTGTGCTTGTTAGTATATTTTGTGATCCCTTTTGGCTCAAGGTCACCAAGGGACTTTTGTTAAGCTTGTTGAGTAGCTCCATGCCATGTATTTCTTTGTCATGTTCAGGTCCTGTAGCGTGTTGTTTTGTTGCTCCGAAGAGGGCTATATGATCTGAAATTCCAGACAAGTGTTAATTTCACTAAGTCTGAGATTGTTTTACCATTTGCGTTTTTGTCATGCTTATTTGAACCTCCTAATGATGAATTGGCCGTAGCTCAGTGCTAGACTTTTGTTAAGAATCTTGTGTGCATCCCTGCCATGTATTTTGTTGTCATGTTTGGGTGCTGTAGCATGTTCATCTCATTGCATTTAGATGCCTACTTGCTGTAAATCGCAGACCGGTGTCATTTTTGAATCGCTTGCCATTTCCAAACCGTAACTCTGATTCTGGCGTTCTT